TTACAGTTTAGCCGTTTTCTGCAACCAACTTCACTTCCTAACTTCCTGTCAAAATCGGATTATCCAGCCGCTCAGCGTTAGGGTTGCCAGATTTTTTATGCGCGATATCAGTACATTAGACTTTTTCATGCTAAAAAATCAGTACTTTTCAGTACATTCTCATTCAAAGCAAAATTATGAATGTAAGTAACAGAAAATAATTTAAAACGCCTGAGTTCTTGTTTTTAACCATATTTTGGTATATAAATAAAATATGGTTCATAAAAAATAAAAGCGCTATTCATTTTAATAAATTATTTTATATTTATGACTTTTTGAATAGCAATAATGAGATCATTCCCATTTTCAGTGTTTAAATAGTCAAAGAATTCCATACATTTCATTTTAAAATCACTTTTAGTTTAAAGTTCACTTTCAAAAATTTTAATTAGAAGCCGGTTTCTCTCTTTGCGCAGGAATACTGTGAAAAAGTACCACTTTTTAAGCAGTTCATCTGTATTTCCTCATGGCTTAAATGATTTTTCAACTACGCAAAAACTGGGAAAGACTAAGAATTCGCTAAAAACGGTATCTAACTCTATGTCTTGTATGCAAAACTCTTTCAAAGTCAGTAAATTGAGAAAAAGGCGTTGTAAGTTATAGGCAAAAGCCACTCGAATATTGAAATTTATTGTTATTAAACTGAAAGTTATTTTCGAGATAACTAACAACACTCGACACAAATTTCAGCCTTCTTTTCAAATAATTTAAGCTCCATCATATTATCACAACTGGTAGGTAACAACCCGGCGATATGCCCATAAAACGATTGATCTTTTTGTTGTATTAATTTCTTGGGCATATCAAATACATATTATCTAAAACATGTCAACTATAATTAAATTATTTTCTTCTTATTTTTTACAGTACTGTTTAAGAAAGTTCCAACGTTATGTAAAAACCTTAAGAAAATAGAGAGAATAGTATTTTATTTGAATAGAAAATTCAGTACAAATCAGTACAAATTTTGAAAAAATCAGGACATTAGCGTACTGATTGAAGAAATGAATAAAATCAGTACAAGAGTTGAAAAATCAGTACTGTACTGATAAAATCAGTACGTCTGGCAACCGTAGCTCAGCGTTGACGCCGCGTTATTTCATTATGATTCACATAAATAGTAGTTGCGATCCGGTACGAGTCCGGACTAGTCAGAAATAGTCAGATTTTACTGGAAATCGATCCCGTACTCGGTTCGCTCTCTGTCAGAAGTTACCAGTTTTAGTTTTGCTGGTAAATGTGTCAAACGATCAGCTGTAGTGTGCTTGGCAACCAAATTTTAAACAAAAGAAAAGTGCACTCTGCTAATTCAAGTTGAAAACTATTTAATTACTTGGTTAAGTGGATTCTAATGAATTTGAAAGTATTTTTGGTTATTTACATGTGTGAGCTGAGTGTGTTTTCATACAAAATAAGCAAAAATTAACAACCAAAATTTGGAAGTTATGTTAAAGTTGACAGAAGTTACCATTTTTTACTACTAGAAAGCGATCCCGTACTTTTCAATGTTACTCTCTCGCTCTGAGCGAATTTTTATTTTTTGACAGTTTTACTAGTCCGAGTCCGAGGAATACGGAATTGCACCTAGTATGGGCATGAGAATATTTGACAGCCAGACAACACTGACGCTTTTGTTTAGGTATGGAAATGATAACGGACTATTTGATGTCAGAAATTAAAGCCCGTTGTCTCGACGGCATTTGATTAAAAAAATATGGCGTTACTTGCCGTACAGTCCGTGAAATATTTGATTTACTGCGAGAATGATTCGGTGAACACTTCATTTCACGCTTCGGAACAATGCGTTGGCCACATACATACATCATGTGACATAACACCTTTAGACTTTTTTTCTTTGGGGCCATGTAAAGTGAAAAAGTCTACATGAATAGGCCGGCTACGACGGAGGTATTCGAGGCCAACATTACTCGAATCATTGACCAAGTGCCAAATGGACCACCACAAGCGCAGTTACGTCCATTATTTGAAAGAAATTATCTTTAAAAAACACTTATAATGTATGATAATAAAGATTATCAAAATTAATTAACTTTCGTCACAGCTTTTCATTTTTGAAAAAAAAACCTCTTAAAGAATCTTCCGATCCTTAGTTCATTCTAAACCTTCTTTTAAAACTTATGATTTTCTTTAATATCTAATGGAAAGCGAATGACTAGATATTTGATATGTATTTATGTGTGCATATCCCCCTCCTTTAGATATTTTTACCCAAAACAATTACGACCAAAATGAAGATTTGCATCAAGACCGAGCATTACCAAATGGTTGCCGCATACTTAGAATGTAGCTACTGCTACCACCCACCTGCAAAATATGTAAATAAATCTCACAGTGCATTTTATTGAAATCAAAAACAACTTAATACACGAAACAATCTGCTTTGTTCAGGCACTCAGCTATAATCCGCAATAGCTTAGGGACTAAATGCAAACAAACGCGTGGGTGGGCATTGTCGACAGGTTTCCATTTACTGTCTAGCAAATCTGAAAAGTACAAGAGAAGAACATTTAAATGACATTGTCTTATTGTTTCTTATTGTGTTTGCATTTCCTACACTTAAGACACTTAAGACGTGCAGCTTGCTTCGTAAAGACAAACATTAAAATCTACTTTCTTTTACTCTATCTCTCTCCGTCTGCAGCTTATTTGACTTGCAGTTGCTCGGCAGGCGGTCATGTCGGATGAACATCACCAACAGCAACAGCAGCAGCAGCAACAGCAGCAGCAACATCAACGCCAGCAACTCTTGCAGCAACAGCAACAACAACAGCAACAGAAATGCGCAGGAAAGGATACCACGACAGCCAACTCATCTTCGTCGTCCTCCTCGCCCACGAGTGCCGCATCCACTGCCACACCGCGAAAGTCGAATATTCATGAGATGCGCAATCAGGACTTTGTCAGCCGACTGATGGCAGCCACGCCTCCCTACTTGTACTCCACACCGGTGGGTGCCAACAACTTTTTCTTTAGTGACATGCTACGCTCACTGGTACAGGCACGCAACAACGAGAATGCGCGCAATCTGCAGCTGCAACAGTCGATGGTGTTGGCACGCAGGCCACGGAAGCGCACTTGGGCTCACCACCGACCCTATTATGAACACTTGCGTGAGCGTAAGGAGGCGGAGGAGAAACAGCAGCTGCAGCAGCAACAACAACAACAACAGCAGCTAGCAAGCAATGCCGCTGCGTCTGTTGGCTTGGAGAAGCCATTGGAACTAACAAATAAGCCATATTTCCACTTAGCCAATAAATATCGCAAGATGGATGATGCCACCAAAGATGCAACTGATGTTAAGGTTGGTAGGGGCGATGCAGGCAACGTCACCACACCAGACTCAACTGCTGCCACGGCTGCTAATGCTGATTGTGCTGGAGCGGGCGGTGGAGGTGGTGCAGTGGATGCCGCGCTGCAGGACACTCCGCCCGCTGCTTCACTGCCGCCACAGGATTTGGTCTTACCGCCACCTCCGCCTGTGTGGTATCCACCGCTCTACCCACCCTACGGCATCGACCCATTGCACTTCTTCATCGATTTACGTGTATCGGGTCATATATATGATCGCAAAAAAGAGAATATTTCGCCACTCACCAGCGCCGATAACAGCAATGCGACCAGTGAGTCGGAGTCATCCGGTGGCAGTGCCACAGGTGCCAGTCTGCTGAACAAGCATCGACAGGGTTCAGCATTCACGGTGCCCGTACCGCGTGCAAACGACACAAATTCCGCAGCGAGTCATTCGCTAGATGCCATCAATTTGACCTCCTCTGCAATGGCTAGCAAATTTGAAAATTACACAAAATATTATGATTTGGGTGAGGCTAAAGAAAATCAACCTTTTACGAAAAATAGCGCCAGCTACATGTTGCAGCATTTGCCGCGTCTTTATAGTCAGTTCGCGGCGCGCGATCTCCTTGCTTCGAATGCAGCAGCAGCTGCCGGTGGCGGTAGTAGCAACAGTTATGATAATGACAATAAATCTGAGCCCGACTGTGATGCTGACTCCGATGGACCATCCTCGGTGGATAATTGCGCGAGTTTTGTTGACAGTAATCGCGAACGCGACATCGATGTGGAAATTATCGACTCGATTAAGTATCGCACTGATGGCGAGAGCAGTCGTTGTTCCAGTGCAGATGAGGCTTCAATAACGCAAATCGATTAGACCTTAAGGTGGGGTATATAATTACATAAAAATACATATATATAAGAAATACTGTGTCGAATTTAATAAAAATAAAATAAAAAATTTAAGGAACGAACCTTTTTTGGTCGGTGACATTGATAAGGTAAGGTGGACGAGCTGCTATTGTTACAAGTGGACTCAACTAGAGCAGTAAATTAACATTATAGAATTTCAAAGAGATAGTCCTCCAAAAATCATAAGATAATTTTTTGGAGTTTGAAGCAATTTCACAGAAAGTGCTTAATACCTTTTACTTTAAGATGAGTAAGAAATTTTAACCGCTTTACAGAAATTGTTTTACGGGGGTTCGAATCTGCCAACCATTTAGCCGGTAGTCTAGTGTCTTATTAATATTCGCAATAAACACAGCCTCAGCAAGCTCTGACTAATTCGTTCACCAAGCGTGCATGTAGATTTGTGCACCGGCTGTTAGTTTCTGCTTTGAAACTCCCCTCGACTTGTGAGAGCAGGCATCTCAGAGAGACTTTCAGCTCGTACCATTTCTACAAGTCCTGTCTCAAATCCTCTCCACGCGCACTGGCCCGCATAGATTTATCATGCTCTGCCTTAAAGATTACAGGAATATTCAACGTTGCCGAACACATATCCAATTTATGGTTGCCGACTACAGCAATATGATAGTCTGTGAACTTCGCTAAATGGGAGTTACTGGAAGTAGATAGCAATGCCCGCTTGGAGGCTTCTATCAAATTTGGAATTTCGCAGTACGTTTCGCTTACAACGTTTTCATACTCGCAGACAATTCTAAAACTAATTCAATTCTCCGCCCGAATTTACCTAAAACAGACGAGAATTGCTGAAATCACCAGAAGTGCGGCTATCGCTGCTTGGGACGTTGAGTGGACTACTCACGTTACGTATATATGTACATATATGCCATTTGTTGCTAACTTTGGAAGCTAAGCAGATAAAGTACGAATCGTCTCCCGTCATGAGAATGAGTTCGCGTCCCGAGGATATCAAACATTTCTTTGCCTAAATAAACCTTGCGAGTTTTAAATTACGTTCAATATTGTCGAAGGGGTCTGTCTCAAGTTTCCTGAAAGGTTGAAAAATTCTCTTTTTTTTAGAATAGAACAAACCTTTGCTCTTGAATAGATTATTCCAGAATGAAAACTGTACCAACGAGGAATGAACAACATTTATAACAATAACTCTTATGAGGCCAATTCGGGGAACAACTAAATAAAAGATCTTTTCTGATGTTGACTAGAAAATGGCATGCGATGCTATTTTTGTGACTTTAAGCGTACTCACATAAAAAGCGGTGGATGAATGATCACCACTGCAAAGCGTGCAGTGCTGGCAAATACCGCCGCAGCAACGATCATTTTAACAGCGCATACTCATATTGACTTCGGTAAACCGGTGTTCCGAATGATCGTGCATGGGGCCAGCAACCACTGCAATTGTTCGATTGCCGAAAGCATGCCATGCAATAATTGTGGCAAACCGCACGCCAATCTCTGATGTGGACCTCGCAGCATTGTGATGTCCCTCAATGGGTTATTCATATCAGATATGTATGGCATTCAGTGTGAGTCTACCGTTTATAGGGCTGCCCAAATGTCATTGAAGATGAAAAGCTCTCTCTTCTCTGTATATCTTTGGGGGAAACTTCGTCCTGCCTTTTGGGTGGCCAACTCTTTAACACTTAATGTACGCTGCAGTAGTCGGGGAGTGGAGGGGAGAAAACTCTTTCTACGACCATCATTTAAAGTTTGGAGGTGACTGAAAAAAGTTTATGGCTTAAGCAATATGATGAGGTCTGCTGTACCAATCTGTCGTGCTGCCATTGGTGAAGATCGATCGAAGAAACAAATTCTTTCAAAGGTGCCTGGTCAGTTGTAACATCCTATCTCACGAAGTTCAGAGAAATCATATAATTTTAAAACTCTATGACTGATTGATTCAATAGCCGCCGTTTTCAGCCGAAGAGGAAAAATATTTGGTTACTAGAAAGGGGTTTATTTCACTCTTGTGAGTAGGTGATGCCTGATTCTATGGGTAAGTTCATATACTTTAGTGCCCATTTGTTCCTCTATGGAATTCGTGTGGTGAAGTTTTTTAAGGGAAAATATGAGCTCAGTAGTCTGAGCTCTTAACATTAGTATGTCTCATACTGACGAATGCAATCAGTTGCATCTAAAACTTGCTTGTAATTTTGTACTGAAGCAGCTTCTGCGTAATCCAATATACGCGGTGCGTAATCCCATTTTTTTAACCGCAGAATTGGAAACATATTAAAAAGTCATAGCTTTGCTGGATGCAACTTAGGAATTGCATTGTCAGGACAGTTCTCCGTCCAATATAAACGTAGCATCCTCCTCCGTATCCTCGTAATACCCAGTCAGTTTTCAGATTTTCACCTAACCGTAAAAGAAGACCGCCCGCTGACGTAACTCATTTTGTTAATATAGTCCATCGATTTCTGGAGCAGAAAATAGACGTCGTAGTTCAGGCAAAAAATTTGGTAAATTGATGTAATCCCCGACAGAGAGGGTGGCGGCAAACGATAAGACAATAAACCGCTCACAAGTATGCGTAGTTGGAGTCAGCTGTACTCAATGAACCTTCGCGTATTCGTCACGCAATCAACACCACGACAAACGCCAGCGGCGTGTCAATCGCGCTTGCTTCAGACGGCAGGCAGCAGAGTTGACAGAATAGATGTTCACAGGAAATGTGAAGGAGGAAGTGTAATAATGACGAACAAGATTGAAAATTTCTTTTCACTTAACTCACCAAAAAAAAAAACAAAAGAAATCGAAATAAAAGACGGAGTAGCTCTGTGTATATGTATGTATGTATGCGCGCCGCGCGCAGGCTGTGCTTAATTGACGATGAAGATGTGAAAGCAACAATTTCATAAATCATTTACTGCAGTGAGCGATGAAATTTTCGTTTGTCTCATTGAAGTGAACTCACCTACCCACGTCTAAAGCTGCGGATGGGGGTGCGAAATTGCTGTTACAGCAGCAACGAAATCAAAATTGTACGAAAACAATAAAAAGAAAATTTAAATATGCATAAAAAAATTTGCTTGCGGTGATTTTGTCTGAGTTGGTGTTACAGAGACGTGGCGACATATCTGGGTAGAGTAAGAACGCCGCTTGATTGTGGCTGATGATTTTTCCAGGATATTAATTTTTACATCATTCGTTGGTTTTTGCTGTTCGAAGCTGTGTCGCTTGCTGTCGATGTCAGTGTCGTTGGAAAAGTCGCTTCCGGTTTTAACACCAAATGCATTTTACCAGTATCCAACTGCGGTTTTTTTTTCTTTTATCAAGCGGATTGATTTCATTGATGATTTTTCCTTTTTTGTTTACTCACAAAAAATACAGAACTACTGATGCAGAAAAACTGCAAAGGCCGACAATGCTGATAACAAAGTCTGGCATTCTTCTTGGCTCACAGCCTCGTGGAATTTAAAGGCATTATTCATTCATTGGATTCACAATTGTACCTAAGTAAAGTACAAATCTTAAATTTAGACCGTTCATTACTCAAAAGAGTTTGATCTTACGGTTATTCTTTGGGAAATTCTGTAGCTGAAAAGGTTAAATATTCTCGACTACAATTTCAGGTAAAATAAAAATGGAGTTCCAGCTCATGCTTTTGCGCCTGTAAAACACTTTTTAGTGGCACATGACGTTTCAACTCAAAGTTAATGGAACGGCAATACCATACGATTGTCCGTTTGTCGCTTATTTCTAAAACACTAAATAACATTCAAATGTTGACTTTGCTCTCGGTCACAGGATCAACGATAACATATTCAACGGCGGCCTTAAGGTACTATTCATAATAACAAGCTTGAAACCATTCCCATTTCCTGACTAGAAACCAAAACAATCTGTTTCGCCACAAAAATTTCAGGTAGTTTTCTGGCAGCATTTTCACACGATTTTCATACGTGCGATCGACGTGAGTTGATAAAAGTGGCGCCCAATTTAAATATGGAACGTTTAAAACCTTCATATTCCGGCAGGTTCTGCAATTCACTTCCGAGTGAATTTGGGTCAAGTTCGCTTTCAATTCAAATGGGTAGGGGCTGAAATTCACTCGGAAGTTGCAGATATTGGTTGCCTTGTGCTCGTTTTTCACAAAAAAAAACTTTAGAAAACCGCACTAGAAAGCTTAGCAAATTTCTTAAGAACTGCGTACTGCCTTAAGGAAGTTGTTGCTTTTCTTGAGAGCTACATACTGGCCTTTAAGGTAGAAAAGGCAACCAAAGGCAAATATCTTAAGGCAACGTCAAATGTATATCTATGGAATCAAGGAAAGCTAAATCGTGGACATTCTTAATCGAATATACTCAATCTCTTTAGAAGAAAAAAAGGCAATTTCCATAAAATGCGTTCCCTGGATATGATCACTCAACAGAAACCTCACAAATTCTTAAACCGAATTTCCGCCAGGCAACGAAATGACAAAAAATGTACATATGCCATTCTAAAAATGTCATATGTTTAATGCCCAACGTAGTGATACAATTTTTTTTTCTTCTAATGCCTAGTGAAAATTGAAAGTTAGCCCTATTGAAGAAAGCTTTTAAATTATTTTGGAATTTTTATTTTTTTTTTTTAGATGACAAAAAATTTTACGTTTTACTTCAAAATTAACCACTATTTTAAGGAGTGTAATAGAGCTTACGTACATATATTTTTTTGCAATGCGGATGTTTTTTAGTTTTTTTTTATTTTCGCCCTTTAAAAAAAAAGATTGGAATTAAAATTTTTGGAGTTTTTTTGTAGTATTAGTAATGTGACCAACCGTACTTCTTTCGGAAGTACAGTATTTCTTTTTTCGCTTTTGTACTTCAAATGTACTTCTTTGCGATATTTTTTGCTTCAGGAATAAGATTCTGTAACCAGTTATCGACAATTTTCGGATCACTATCGCACTTTTTGACGCATGATAAAAATATCTCATGTTTCCCCTAAGGATTTTAGGCCTATCAGTCTCTTTAGGCTCTATCAGTCGCTAGAGAGACTGATAGACCTGTACAGAAGAAACCCGATTCCTCGTGAAAGTG